AAATCAGTATGGAGATACCTCAAAGAACTAGGACTGGAAGTCCCATTTGACCCAGCTATTCCCCTGCTGGGTATCTTCCCCAAAGAAGTAAAAGAATCATACCACAGTGATATATGTGCACCCATGTTCATAGCAGCACAATGTGCAATAGGTAAAACTTGGAAGCAGCCCGATTGTCCATCAACTGGAGACTGGATAAAGTAAATGTGGGGATTTTTTAAATATAAAATAGAGTACCACTCAGACGTAAAGAATGAGAAATTAGAGACATTTATAGCTAAATGGATGCACATTGAGGGGATACTCTTAAGTGAAATAAATAGGACACACATATGTAAATACTGAATAGTTTCTCTGGTATGAGAACCTGACATTGTAAATAAGAAATACAAGGTATAATAGATAATGTGAAATAGGAAGAAAAGTGGCAAAGGGGAAGGGGAAGGGAAGTGGTACGAGAAAGGAAAAAAGGGAATGGAATTAATATGAGGAAATGAAAAATGGAAGCAAAGTCTTTGTCAATAGGGAGGGATGGATGAGTTGAAGGGAGGGCAGGAGAATGGGGAAAAATAAGAACCAAGAGAGATTATGTAAAGGTGCAAATTTCCAATGATGAATGTCATTATATTGTATACCTTAAAATGCACCAATGAAATTTTTTTTTAAAGTTCACCTTTAAGTGCATTAGCCTTTGTGGGTGGGTGAGGCATTCAGATATGAACCATAGCAGAAAATCTCTTCCCCTGAGAAAATTAACATCATAATTTAGGGTTATCTCATGAGAATATAGGAGTTAGGAGTATCCAGTCCCTACCTTCTAACAGCAAGTCAGCTATAAATTCCCATAATCAAGTCATCTTTTCAAAGCCCCACCTTTGAGTCCATGAAACTTTGGGGATACATCTAGATATAAAGCATAACAGAAAATTTCTTCCTTTGGCAAAATAAACTCATAAGAATTTAGGAGGATCAGAAGATTCTTCTCTGATATATCCATCCCCTTTTTGCCAATCATATTTCTTACATCAACTGAACACACACTTCAAAACTGAGATTTAAACTTTGGCTGCCATCCAGCCAATCACATAATAAAGGCTTGTGTTTTATTTTTGGCAACTTCAGTGCCATAAGTATAGGATAGAGGATTCTTCTTCGGGACACTTTACAAGACTTTAGATTATTCATGTGTGTCTGTATCTGGGAATTTGACTCTTTGACCTCATTCTTCCCCTTTATACCTTTGTCTAGAGATGCTAAGAATAGCCAGAAAAAATCATTGTATTAGTCTTCCAAAAAATGCAAAAAGTATTGTATGTAGAGTCACTAAATTTCTTGCATCTCCCAAGTGGTGAATTAGGTCAATAGATTGGATTGATGTTGCATAGTACTTTAACCAGTTGATGTCATAGGCTATCAGTATTCTCTATATTATCAGAAGTATATATTATAGCAACTTTAGGTCTCAAGAAATTAGAGCCAACTCCAGGAACCACTAAACTGATTAAATAAATGCATCCTTAAAATTATGTTTCTGGAGAACTACTCCTGGTACCAAAATCTGTATTGATTAGGATTCTCTAGAGGAATGCAGTCAATAGAAAATATATGTATAATTATGCAAGGGGATTTATTGTGTATGTCTACAGGATCAGAGATGGAAAAGTCTATAATGGTCATCTGCATGCTGCAAAGCCAGGGAGTTTCCATGGGTGATAGGGTCCCAGATGACTTTCTGCACAACGAAGAATTCTGGGTTCTTGTCCACAACAAAGAATTGGACAGTATATATGAAAGCCATAGAACGGGAAAAATCAAGGATACAGATGCTATCTAAGACCAAAGGCCTGGAAGTTCTTGGATATTCACTGGTATGCGTCTGTGTTTGTTGTAAGGCTAAAGAGATTGAAGTCCAATGTCAACAGGTGACATCAGTAAAGATGTCAAGGCTTGAGATACCTGCTCAAGCAGAATGGAGCTCTTCAAAACATGCCCACTTCCAATTCATTTCCTTTTATTCTACACTAGTTTCAAGTCTATTGTTTGGTGCCACCCACAGAGTAAGTCTGTCACCAGAAACAGTTTTAGTAGGTTCCTAAACCCATTCTTCCCACATGATTAAGCTGCAGATTTGCAGATTCCTATCACAGAAAGAATTTTTAGGACATGTCTGTAACAGGCCTGAAGAAACTTATTAGGCAGAAAATTTAAAAGTACACACTTAAAGATACAGATTATAGGTCTTCCAGAAAGAGAGGTGCATTATGATCTGGAGCTGGATATATTTAAGGGGTTTTGGAGTTGTCTTCTAAGCAGGTGATCTAGCATGTGTATCCCTACTGTGAGATTACACATTTGGCAGGCTATGTTAGAATGTGCACCATTTAAATATGTTTCAAGTTCAGATATGGTCTTTGGGAGGAAGTGCAATTTACAGACAAAAAGAGGTAGTCTATCTACAGGGTAAAAACAAACAAACAAAAAAACCCCCAGGTAAATCTGCAGGTAAAAAGGATTCTCCCAGACTGTATATTATCAAAGAGAAAAAGAAATTTAAACTGGGCATGAATAACTTTTGTGCCCTAAATTTGCAATTTTAAGAAATTTTAACATGCCTATTAACCTCTCTTATTTTACCTATCTTTAGTTCTTCTATCCTTCTTCAGGTGCTCTCTTTAGTTAGCAGAACTGTATGCCAATAATCTCCACAATCTTTCCATAGATGTACTCAGAATTATGCTTTACTAATCTAGGTGTGTCTTAATCCAATCTGGTTTACATGTTGTAGCCAATTCTCTCTCTGAGCTCATGTCCTGAGGATGATGAAGAATGAAGACAACAGGAGAACAGTAGGGAATAAAGTGTCAATGCCCTCTTAACAGTGGTAACCCTCTCTACCATTAGAGGTGTGGGCTGTTGGTCACTCTAGTTGATTTTTGCTGAGAAGGAGCACTGTTAGGGCAGCAATCAGGGCCTATCACCATGAGGTCTATCTAAAGGCCCTGATTAGAAATCAGGAGAGCACCTCTTGGTGCTGTGCACCACCATCTGTAGCTTTAAAGCTGTTAAGAAGAAATACAAAAATCTGTGTCCCCCAATGACCTGCCCATGGCTCCCTCACCCATGATGTCTCCTGCAGCCATCCCTCACACAGTTGCTGTGGGATTTCAACACCAGGACCCCTGACATGAAATAAGCCTGAGGCTGCTCTGAGTCCCTGGTTCAGTTGGCCCCTCCCTAAAAATGTGACTGACCAAGCACTCTTTCCAGGGAACACAGCTGTCACCTGGCCTGGAGTCACTCACTGACCCTTGAAGTACACAGCATCCATTGCTCTGCTCCACTGATGTGTTTCTACTCCATGTGTCAACTGGCAGATATGCCTGACTCTTGTTACTGGATGATTGACTGTCTCCACACCCAGAAAAGGGTTAGGCCAGCCAAAACTCTCATCTCCCACTCTGATGAAGACTGAAGAGGCTTCAAGCAACCTACAATGCCCAGTTCACAGATATTAACAACTTCTGTGAGAAAATTTGGGTGACCCTGGACATTATCAGTGAGTCAATTCAACTATTGATAGATACAGAGGCAGTTCTTTCCATTTTTAACTTCCTTCTCTGGAAAACCCTCCTCTAGATCAACCTCAAGTAAGAGCTTCTGTACTCTTGCTATAACATGTCAATTCAAAGACCAAATGTTTACCAATGAGCTTTTAATTATCCCACAGTGTTTTACTCCCTTGGCAGGAAGAGATTTATTTGCAAAATTGAGGGCAATTCTTAAATTCTGGCAAAGTCAAAGTGGATTTTATCTGTTAATACTACATCAAGCATCCCTGACATTATTAGCTAACAGGTGAATTCTGCTGTATGGTGTAATGCAATGTCTGACAGGGCAAATTCAACAATGCCAGTAGTTATGAAACTAAAAGACCCCAGCCAATTTCACAACAAAAGCAATATTCAATCAGAGAAGAAGCCTGTGAAGGACTTCAGCCTCTCACAGACAAGTTTCTTACATCTGGCTTCTGTGGCCTTGTTAGTCCTCTTGCAATACTCCCATTCTCCCTGTATTAAACCTTCAAGAAAATGTAGGATGATTCAAGCTCTCTTCCTCTTGAACAAGACTGTAATCCTAATCCACTCTCTGGTGCCAGATCCATGTACAATTGTCTTCCAAATTCCAGGAGACATGAATCTGTTCTTAGTCTTAGATTTCCAAGATGCTTTCTCTTTCATCCCTCTTCATCCAGATACCCAGTTCCTGTTTCACTTTGAGCGGGAAAAATCCCATCCCAAGGAAAAAACAGCAGTACACTTGGATAGTTCTCCAATAGGGTTTTAGAGGTAGCCCTCACCTTTTTTCTCAGGTACTAGAAAAAGACTTAAGGAATCTAGAGCTTGAACAGGGAAACTTCATACATTATGTAGATGATATTTTAATTTTCAGCCCAACTTGGGAACTATCTAACCATAATATTAGCCAAATCCTCAATTTTCTAGCTGAAACAGGATATAATGCTCAAAGAAAAGGCTCAGATATTCATCCAAAAAGCCAAATTCTTAGGATGCATCCTTACACTCAGAAAATGACAGCTGTCTAAGGACCAGATCCAGGTTATTTGTGACCTATGATTCCCTGCCTCCAAACAACACCTTCATTCCTTACTGGAAATGGCCAGCTTCTGTCAGATCTGGATCCCTAATTTTACACTAAAAACAAAGCCTTTATATGGGGCTGTCAAAAGTCCTGAGTCTGTGTCCATAGTAACTGACAGTATCTTTCATGAAATAAAACATGCACTTACTTTATGTACTGGTAATACCTGCCTTAAGAAAGCCCCTTTTCCTGTACACATCAGAAAGGAGAGTAGTTGCTTTGGGTGTTGACAAGAACCCCACTCAGAGGCATACTATTTTTAAAAATTACATACAGTGCTGCTGGATGGTTGCTCTGCCTGAGGATCATAGCAATTACAGCTATAGCAACAGTAGAAGCTATAAAACCAACTTTGGGGACAAAGCTAGAATTTCTGACTCCTCATTAGGTCAGGGCTATTAATTGTGGCTGACAGAGGAACAGCTTACCAAGTATGAGGCCATGCTTTTAAATATCCTTGAAGTTACAATAAAGACTTCCACTACTCTTAATCCTAACTCATTAATGCCTACAGGCTTAGGGGTTAGCCACTCTTGTGAAACAATGATTTTCTAGACCTACGTAAGTAGGGAGAACATCAGAACATCATCTCCAAGACCCTGAGGTAGTGTGGTTCACTGATGGAAGTACTTTGGCACAGAAGGACATCAGAAGGCAGGTTATGCAGTTGTCAATTCACAACAGGTTACTGAGGCCAAAACACTACCCCCAGGGACCTCTACTCGAAAAGCAGTGCTCATAGCTCTTATTTGGGCATTGATATTAGGAAAAGGCAAAATGTTAGCTATTTACACAGACTCCAAGTATGGCTTGCTGGTGCTGCATGCTCATGTAGCAATCTGGAAAGAAGAGGGCTTGTAAACTAACAATCAATCATCTATAAAGCACAAACAAGAAATTCTACAACTCCTAGAGGCAGTCTATTGTCCTAAGTAGGTTGCTATCATGCATTGCAAAGGACACCAAAGGGATATGTCTAAAGGCTCTTTGGGAAATTGGAAGGCTAATAGAGAGGCAAGAAAGGCAACCTTGTAGCCTCTCGAAAGCCTAGCCTTGTTCTCAGTCCCTGAGGAACACTTAAAACCAGACTATTGCCTCAAGAATATAAATGTGCTATGCCCTACCAAGGTCCTGAGTTGCACAGAACATGCCGAATCAGCCCAATGCAGACAGGCAGGTCTGCCCATGCCCTACCGAGGTCCTGAGTTGCACAGAACACACTGAAACAGCCCGCTGCAGACAGGCAGGTCTGTGCACACCCTACCGAGGTCCTGAGTCACACAGAAGACGCCGAATCAGCCCGCTGCAGACAGGCAGGTCTGTGCACACCCTACCGAGGTCCTGAGTCATGCAGAAGACACTGAATCACCCCACTGCAGACAGGCAGCAACCTGGTTCCACACTACAAAGACGCAGGGGACACCAGACTGCCAGACCACAGTACTGAGTCCCACTGTTCCTGGCCCAGAGAAAGGGGCTTCTGAGCCATCATCCCACTGCTCCTGCTCCAGCAGAAGGGGCTTCCCGGTCACCATCCCTCCCACTGCTCCCGGCCCAGAGGAAAGAGCTTTTGGGGCACCTTCTGTCCCACTGCTCCTGGCCCAGAGGAAGGGGCTTCAAGGCCACCATCCCTTGCACCACTCCCAGCCCAGAGGGAGGGGCTTCTGAACCGCCATCCCACTGGCCCTGGTGCAGAGGAAGGGGCTTCCTGGCCACCATCCCACACGCTGCTCCCAGCCCACAGGAAAGGGCTTTGGGGTAACCATCCCTACCACTGCTCACAGCCCCTGGCCACCCCACCCAGCTCAGAGGAGGTAATCCGTGCAGGTGCACAGCCCCCTGGCCCAGTTGAAATGAGAAAACACGTAAATAAGTCTCAAAACCAGACTTCCAGATCACCTACAGCAAACCCAAAGGGAAACGACATGGAACACTCTGATACTCAACCACCTGGACCCACTGAACTGCCAACAAAAGGGGATCTGGAAAAAATGAAATCAGAAATAATTTGTCAGATAAAAGGAGAAATTGTGACCCTAGTGCAAGACATGATTAATAAATCTAGAGAGGAGCTCAGGAACATGATGGAATCCCAACATAGGAAACAAATGGAATCCATAA